ATGGGAAAATGGATAGAATCTCATCAAAACGTCCATAGCTGTGCATGAATTAAAAGCACAGTCTCTCGGGGCCCAAGCCTGGACCTTTAATTGTATATGAATATCAAAATACGCCTCCATTTAATATGGATTTTCAAAAACTAGTTTGGGAAGCTTCTGGCCACAATTTGCATCTTTGGTTCCTAATACAGCTGACAATAGTATACAGAGAGCATTTGTAAAGGTAAAGGGACCCATTAGGTCCAGTCGTGGCCGACTCTGGGGTTGCGGCGCTCATCTCGCTTTATTGGCCAGCAGGACTAAGCCGCTTCTGGCGAACCAGAGCAGCGCACGGAAATGCCGTTTACCTTCCCGCCGGAGCGGTACCTATTTATCTACTTGCACTTTGACGTGCTTTAGAACTGCTAGGTTGGCAGGAGCAGGGACCGAGCAATGGGAGCTCATTCCGTTGTGGGGATTTGAACCGCCGACCTGATCGGCAAGTCCTAGGCTCTGTGGTTTAACCCACAGCGCCACCCGAGTCCCAGAGAGCATGTGTGCATACCCCCAAACTCTTGCTTGCAGTCTGCTTTGAATCAGCTCTCCCCCTCCCTGTCATTTTAGGTGTAATTGTGACCTATTCTCATCATCAAAAACCACCTTATAAAATAAACAATCACACCTTTAATTGCAGAAATATGCACAGATGCAGCTTGTTGTGATGAAGAGGTGTGTGAGTCCACACCAGATTGCGTCTATGCAGTCAGTATTATTATTATTATTATTATTATTATTATTATGCCACCCATCTGACCGGGTTACCCCAGCCACATGTGGAGAAATTCAAGCATGGTGCTCCCCTCCCAGAGTAGGCCCAAGAGGGCTGAACGATCAAGGGTTTCCTGGGGTCCCCAATACTGGCAAAGAACCCACACCCCAACAGCACTGGCATTCTCAGTTTGCACACAGGGCGTCCCAAGAAGGCGCTCTGAATTAATCTTGTGTCTATATGCCTGGCTTCTCCCATTAATGATGCCTCAGAAAGCTTGAGCTGCCTTATACAGTGGTACCTCAGGTTAAGAATTTAATTCGTTCCGGAGGTCCGTTCTTAACCTGAAACTGTTCTTAACCTGAAGCACCACTTTAGCTAATGGGGCCTCCCGCTGCTGCTGCGCGATTTCTGTTCTCATCCTGAAGCAAAGTTCTAAACCCAAGGTACTATTTCTGGGTTAGCGGAGTCTGTAACCTGAAGCGTCTGTAACCTGAAGCGTGTGTAACCTGAGGTACCACTGTATTTGAGTCAGGCTACTGGTTCACCTCACTTTGATTGTCTACATCAGCAGTAGTCCTCCTGAGGTTGTGGACTACAACTCTCATCAGCTCCAGGCACTTAGAATTGTAGTCTAAAACATCTGGAGGTTACCATATTGGTGTATGTTGACTGACAACAGCACTCCAGGGTTTCAGACAGGGGAAATTTCCAGTTCGGGTTGCCACCTGTGTTCTGGTGAAATACAGGGTGGGGTATTGCGGTTGGGAGATGATTCCCCCCCCCATTTGTTGCTGAAGTGATTTCAAAGCAATCCATGACGATTTATAGCAACCTGACAGGATGTCCCTTCTAGAATTTGTCTCACACCCAGAGCTTAAATACATGATCTTTCCCATACCCTTTCAATCACATGCATTTGGAGAAGATCCCTGACTTGGAAGAGAGAGCGAGCGAGTGAGAGAGCGAGTGTGAGAGAGAGTACAGTTGGTACCTCAGGTTACATACGCTTCAGGTTACAGACTCCGCTAACCCAGAAATAGTACCTCGGGTTAAGAACTTTGCTTCAGGATGAGAACAGAAATCGTGCAGCAGCGGCACAGCAGCAGCAGGAGACCCCATTAGCTAAAGTGGTGCTTCAGGTTAAGAACAGCTTCAGGTTAAGAACGGACCTCTGGAACGAATTAAGTACTTAACCCAAGGTACCACTGTACAGTCATACCTCGGGTTGAAGTAGCTTCAGGTTAAGTATTTTCGGGTTGCGCTCCGCGGCGACCCGGAAGTAAAAGAACGCATTACTTCTGGGTTTCACCGCTCGCGCATGCGCAGACGCTCAAAATGACATCATGCGCATGTGCAGAAGCAGCAAAATGTGACCTGTGCACACGCAGACGTGCAGTTGTGTGTTACGTTCTACTCAGGATGCAAACGGGGCTCCGGAACGGATCCTGTTCGCATCCAGAGGTACCACTGTGCTGGAAGGAATGCTAATGGAAGGAATTTTTTAATTTTGTTTTGAGAGCGAGAGAAAGAAAGAAAGAAAGAAAGAAAGAAAGAAAGAAAGAAAGAAGACCTGAAATACAGGACAAAACCAGGGGCTTTATTTCACCCAGGTCAAAGACCCAGTTTTACACACCCACACACCCACCCTTGGCCATTTGTGTACACACGCACACAGGCTGGGAGCCTCAATGGCACCCCTCTGGAGGCTTCACCCGGGGCAAAAAACCTGGCTAGCCCCACTGTAGCTATGGCACTGGCACTTGTATCAGTACAAGATGTAGTGTTTTATAGTGAACTATGGGACAATCCAGTATTATACAGGACAGGGAGCAACCCTATTCCCAGACCTATCTGGAGATGCTGGGATTCGAATCCAGTACCTGCAGGAAAAGCAGATGTTCTGCCACCGAGCTACAGCCCTTGCCTGACTCTTCCTGATGTGCTGTTCTTCCCCAAGGAGCTGGCGCCGGCGTCCACCCCTGCACCGTGTGAGTGATGGCTGCCAGCCCTGCGTTACTATGGTGTCGCGGCAGTTAAGCAAGATAAAAGAAGGATGTTAATTGTGATGGATTTCTGCGGTGGGGAAAAAGCTAAGGAGAAAAAGGCTGAGTCTCCATGGTTGATATCATCCTTTATATCATTGTTAAAGAGGAGCCGTTTTTGATATACAATGCATTTGTCATCTTCTTGTGCTTCCTATGAAAATGTGTACATAGTACAGATACCAGAGAGAATTCAACACTTTATACACTTGAAGGCATTCAGAGATCGGTAGTTGGGGGGGAAAAGAAATTATAATGGCACAATATCAAGGCTTTTGATGCTACTGGATGGATATATCTACACTGAGATGGCGCATATAGAGAAGTGTGTACGTATTTAGCTATATATATATGTACATATATATATATTATAATAATATATATCGTATATTTTATACATAAGAAATATAAAATGAGCATGAAGTAGTAAAAACGGTCAAATTAAAAAGGGGGGAAAGAGGTCAAACTCGAGCCCTATCTTCAAAAGCTTCCAAGCAGAGAAGTAGAAATAACCAAATTAAAACTAAAGAAAGGTAAACATATTCCCCCCCCCCCAATGCAGAGACCCCCTGCTTCTTTCCAGAAAGGTCCAGCCATGGCAGAGTTGCAGCGTCTTTGGGAAATAAGGGCCTCAATATATTCAGGAGGCTGAATACAAACAACAAACACCTCTTTCACAAGCAAGTCTGGACCGCCGAGCCCTGGAATGATCAGGATCGAAATAAAACAAAGTCTTTTCGAAAGGAAAAAACAAATAAAACCAAAGCGACGATGAGATTTTATTGCAAAAGCTCTTAAAGATAAGGAGAATTTTGAACCTGGGAAGGCTGCCCATGCAGCAAATCTTGGTTAATGTTGAGGGAAGAGGCTGGACCATGGCAGGCACGAGATGCTGTGGAGACCCAGGCTGGGAGAGGTCAGCCAGTTGCTTCTAAAAATGAAAAACCACCCATGTCAGCATATCTCCTCTCCACCCCCCTCCCAAATCTGAGAGCTGGCCCTGAAGGGCATCAAAACAAGCAGGCAAAAAGAGCCCTAGAGGCAGTTTTAGTAGCCATCAGGACCCATGGCTCTTGTAGGGCTTCAGGTGGATATCTGGGGTACCTTCAGGTTTCTTCTTCAGCCCTTCCAACAATCCCCATAATATAATCAGAACTTCTGTCTCCCCACCACCACCCTTGTTTTTCCCTTCAACCCATCGGGTCATAAGGCATAGGAGGAGTAGAGGCCTAATCCGGTGCCACTCTGCCTCACACACACAGACACACCAGAGATGGACTTGAATAATCCAGATTTGCATTCTGGCTGCTGGTTCTTCCAGCCTGTTCAGATCCCAGCTGGTGTACTTTATAACTTGGACAGCTCCGTTGACTTGTGGGCAAACCCCAGTTGAACCACCAACACTGGAGTAGGAGAAGGCATCAACAAATGCGACCCTCAAAAAGGAGGGTGAGGAAGACCAAGTCACCCCTCCCTCCTCAACCCTGCCTGATAAGGCCTCTAGTTTTCAGCCCTGTCGAGCTGTACAGCTCAATGCAAAATTCTTATGGACCTTTCTCTCCTCCCAAAGAGACCAGGAGTGATTCACACATGCACCTTCTCTCAGGACAAAGCTGGGCAGACAAGCTTGCCAGATTCCTTCTGCAAAACCAAATTCTGGCCAAGCCTCTCCACCAATGTCAATCCCTCTGTTTGGCTGAGCAGTTGATTGGGCAATTTCTGGATAACAAACCTGGGCTTTTCTGAAGGTGGTTTTCAATGGGATTGTCAAAACTGGACGACAGGGACTCTTCCAGGGTTTCAGGCAAGGGGCTCTCCCAGGAGCACTTGGGGGGTGCCAGGAATTAAACCTGGAGCCTTCTGCATGCCAAGCAGATGATCTGCCACTGAGCTATAGTAGGAATCAGGAGCAGGTGGGAGCCCCTTTTGTGAAGAGGTCATCCTCTCTTCATCCTGATAGTTTTCCACCACCGCTCTTGTTTTCTCAGGATGGGCACTGTGAACAGGTTCCGTGGGAAGCTGAATCAGTATATAAGGAAGCCCAGACCACTCTGCCTAATCCTTCCCTCCCCCCCATGCACGGTACTTGATCCTCCCAGCTTGGGAAAGCTCCCTCCCAAAGGATCTTGGTGACCTCCCTGTTGTACAATCAGGTGGTTGTAACACAGTGGTTCCAAAACAGGACATGGTGGTGGGATTCTGCAAATCTCCTGCACTGGGTAAATCCAGGAGGCCTTGCTTGCTAAGACTTACAAGACTGTCATCTTCACTCCCCTGAGCTGATTTTTATTCCTGTCTATGCTGACGATGTGTTAGAGCAAACATTAAAAAAAACAAAACAAAAACAAAAACGTTTTACACCATTAGCATGCAATTGCCTGGAGACCCTCTATGTGTTTTTGATGGTGGTCTGTCCCTCTGCCCATCACTGCTGGCAAACTCTTGGCTGAACGTTAGGATGGGTTATGTCTGCTAAATGCCCGTAGAAATTAAGGGGCAACAGGTTTTCTGCGTTGCACCAAAGCGGAGCTATCATTGTCACTAGCCTACAGGCAGGTCCTTTCTGTCCTTTTGTAGTGTGGTGCTGAGGCAGGAACTGGCAATGGTCACCCTTACACATCTGCACAGCCAAAGAAATGATGCTGTGTCCTTTCTGCCTGTAGGACTGGGCTATAAGTTGCCATGCCTCTGTAGAAGGTAGGGGAGAGGAAACCCAGGGTCAAATTCAGCAGGGTAGGCTGCTTGCATCTTCTCCTTTCAGAAGCTGCAGAACCCTCAAGCGAGGCTCGTTTGAAAGCAATCTAATATTGTACCCTACTGAGAAATGGCAGACTTCTCTCTGAACCTTACTTTTCACGTAACCCCTAAGAACATGCACAGAAGGGGCCCAGGGCAGCTCGTAGTAACACCAATGTTTTGAACTTTGGAAGAGCTCATCTGCCAATCATTCCTCTGCCTCTCTTGGGGGGTGAACAAGGCTGAGACCCAGACCAGGCTGGAGCAAAAGGGAATCAGGTAGTTGGGCAAGACAACAGGTGATATTCAGGTGGGCCCTCACAGTTCAGTTGCGGTCTTGCTACAGGGAAAGCCTCAGCTGTGGCCTCCCACAACACACAGCAAGGTGGTGATGCAGATGACGGTGGGAGGGAGGGAATGGAATTGATGTAGCACCTCCTTTGGATACGGCAAGGGGCCCTTACGAAACCGAATGCTGCGGGGGAACAGTTTGGCTGGCACTCCTGTAGGTTCTTCTTGGCATCGACGTTGAAAGAAAAAAAAAGGGCCTTCACGCAAGGTGGCTGACACCAACAAGGCATGGGGTAGCGTGGAGGCCAAAGGGGGGGCACATAGGCAGTCAAGACTTCTCCGCATGTGGACTGGAGAAGGCGGTATCCTCTCCTCCACTTGGCAGCTCTTCTGTTAAGAGTCTGAGGGCACTCACAGGGACAAGAGCAGAAACTGGTGTGGACCTGGTAGAACAGATAACCCCCACCCCGCCCCCCACCCCTCTGTCCAGTTTGCTCCGTGTGCGTATCGCTGCCTTGGCCTGGGGTGGATGGGTTGAGGAGAGGCCGGATCCAGCTTGCCTCCCCCTGGGAGTCTTGAGATAGAGGCCCTGACGAGTCAATTGGCAGGTTCGTGGGCTGGGCCAGGGCTGCTCAGCGAAGGTCCTTCCCTTTGGTAGTGTTAGTTGTACATCCAGTGGTCAGTTAGCAAGTAAAGTCCTCAAACGTTCCCCGGGCCGGATGGTGAGGTAGGATGTTGGCCGCGTACGTCATGCCCGCTGGGTGGCCTCGGATGCTCTCGCACGGATTCTGGGTTTGCAGCGGGGGGAGAGGAGAGAGGAACACAGTGGGCATTGCAATTAGCACCGTAAACATGAAATGATAATGAATGGGGTGGCGTGTGCAGTTCCAGGATTTGGGGACCTTCAAGCAGTGTGGCGTCCAGGTTTGAGTGCTGGACGGTGACCCGGGAGACCAGGGTTCGAATCCCCGCTGAACCATGAAGCTCACTGGGTGACCTTGGGCCAGTCACTGTCTCTCAGCCTAACCTACTTCATAAGATCAGGATCCAGGGAACAGTCACTGAAAAAGGTCACATTTGGTGTGTGCACCCGCATAGGGAGATGACTATCATATGTAACCTTTGACTCAACAGCTATGCTTAGTATCAAAACTTTCTCGGTTCCAAAATTTTCAAAGGCGGTGCAAAGGGATGGTTATGTTGCATTGTGCCATGAGACTGGAGGCTACAGAATGACTACTTCATTGTGCGATAAGCTTTTAAGTGGCTGCCGGTCATTTTTCTGAATCCACTCTTGGGGGATCTCTATGCTGAAAACGAATTTAACAGTGATTTGGCATTATACTATAGAATTACAATAGTTTGCTATATTCTTAACCTATCCTGGTGTCTTCCAGATGTTTGGGGCTACAAGTTCCATTAGTCCCAGTCGGCATGGTGGGGGCACCAGACTGGAGAAAGCTTATTTAATCCTACAGTTGTAAATAACAGTGACTCCCTCTTGCCAGGGCATCTTGGGAGCTGTAGTTGTGCATATGTGTGTAAAGGTAAAGGACCCCTGGACGGTTAAGTCCAGTCAAAGGCGACTATGGGGTTGTGGCGCTCATCTCGCTTCAGGCCGAGGGAGCCGGCATTTGTCCACAGACAGCTTTCTGGGTCATGTGGGCAGCAGGACTAAACTGGCGCAACGGGACACCGTGACGGAAACCAGGGCGCATGGAAATGCCGTTTACCTTCCCACCACAGTGGTACCTATTTATCTACTTGCACTGGCGTGCTTTCAGACTGCTAGGTTGGCAGGAGCTGGGAAAGAGCAATGGGAGCTCACCCCGTCGCTGGGATTCGAACCACCAACCTTCTGATGGGCAAGCCCAAGAGGCTCAGTGGTTTAGCCCACAGCCCCACCTATGTGTGGTGCTGGTAAGGGATCCTTTGTAAAGAAGTGGCAGGCGCTTCTCCAAACTGCAAGTCCCAAAATTTGTTGCGGTTAATTGGGATAGTTAAAGTGGTATGAGCATGCTATAATCAGTTACATTGCTAGTGCAAACGGAGGGGGGCGGGGGGAGCAATGTCACGCGACATGGGAATGCACGGCACAATGTGGCAAATAGCTTAGACACTCACGTGGCGTTTCACATCATCCAGACTCAGAGCTACCCCTTTGTCGCTGTTGTTGCTTTTGTGTTTCTTCTGGCATTTGCCGCGGCGAAAGAAGCGGAACTTGATAATCTAGAGATGGAAGTGAGGAGGAAGGCTGTCGGTTTCATGTAAACCATTTGCAAAACGGCCATGCCGTTTTGTTGCTTAAGACTGTGGCTGGTGCCTCAGAGCAGCGGAGAGGAAAATGGAGGGAAGGTGAGGGTGCTCCGTTAGCTGCTATGAGCATGTCTGCACAACGGTAAAGGAGGCAAAGATTGGGACCATCAGCATCTTGGTGCTGGGAAAACCTTGTGGGAGACGCTATAATGCAGCGGTAGCTAACCCTCAATTCAGCGGTCCAATTTAGCCCTGCACATTTTTTTTGTCCCCCAAAGACCCCACCAATTTCAGCAGGGGAACATTAAAATACAGCATGGGATTGAGCAGAGCCTATGGCCCTGGTGGAGACGCAAATCAGCAGTGTGGTGTAGTGGTTAAGAGCGGTAGATTCGTAATCTGGGGAACTGGGTTTGCGTCTCCGCTCCTCCACATGCAGCTGCTGGGTGACCTCGGGCCAGTCACACTTCTCTGAAGTCTCTCAGCCCCACTCACCTCACAGAGTGTTTGTTGCGGGGAAGGAAGGGAAAGGAGAATGTTAGAAGCTTTGAGACTCCTTCGGGTAGTGATAAAGCGGGATATCAAATCCAAAATCTTCAAACTCTTCTTCCTCCCTGATCATCAGATTCCTTGTTTGATGTATGGAGGGAAGCTGATCACCCTCTCTCCTTAGCTGATCTGCATGCATTAGCTCAATTGTGTGTGTGTGTGAGCATGCGTGTGAGTGCGTGGCTGGCCACACCTATTTCTGACCATGCCCACTGGTGGCATATGGTCCCCAATGGATTTGCCAAGGGGGAATGTGGTTTTCAGGCTGCAACGTGTAGGTAGCCCTACAAGACTGCCTTAGCTTAGACGGCTGAGAACCCCAAATAAATATGCATTTGCAACTGTGAGGAAGGGGCATTTTCCTACTGCCACAACACATCATTAGATTTAGACCACTTTCCACCTCCCTAAGAGCTCAGAGCACCTCCCATATAGTCTCCCATCCAGGCCTTGTTCTAGCAGTGGAAAGGCTTTGTGTGCCTTTGAAAAGATTCTCTAGACGGTAAGCAGATCTGTACCCCGTTCCCCATCATGCTCCAGGGAGCCAAACTCACTTCGTAGGCGTAGTCAAATAGCTCCAGCACAGTTAACAGGCTGGCTCCAATGAACAGCCCCATCTGTCCCCCGATGTCACCTGCAGGCAAGAGGAGAGGGGAGCAATAATCAGGTACTGAGATTGGGGCACATTTCTCTGGTTCCCTAATCTCAACACTCAGCTCTCCAGACTTGGTTGGTCCAATCTATGCTGGCAGGGGAGGTCGGCAGGGACATGGTGGTTTGAGAGCCAGTGTGGTGTAGTGGTTAAGAGCGGTAGTCTCGTAATCTGGGGAACCGGGTTCGCGTCTCCGCTCCTCCACATGCAGCTGCTGGGTGACCTTGGGCCAGTCACACTTCTTTGAAGTCTCTCAGCCCCACTCACCTCACAGAGTGTTTGTTGTGGGGGAGGAAGGGAAAGGAGAATGTTAGCCGCTTTGAGACTCCTGAAGGGGAGTGAAAGGCGGGATATCAAATCCAAACTCTTCTAAGAAGCCCAATGTGGTCTGGAGAGAGGATTTCCCCTCCCCCCATAATTTTTATTAAATTTTCTGTTTTACATTTTAGAATATTCATTTAAACAACCTTAAAGTATCAATGACATCCCTTCTTCTCTTTCCATGGTTCATTTTGCATAACATAAAGGTAAAGGGACTCTTGACCATTAGGTCCAGTCATGACCGACTCTGTGGTTGCGGCGCTCATCTCGCTTTATTGGCTGAGGGAGCCGGCGTACAGCTTCCGGGTCATGTGGCCAGCATGATTAAACCGCTTCTGGTGAACCAGAGCAGTGCACGGAAACGTCGTTTACCTTCCCGCCAGAGCGGTACCTATTTATCTATTTGCACTTTGACGTGCTTTCGAACTGCTAGGTTGGCAGGAGCAGGGAGCTTGAACCGCTGACCTTCTGATCGGCAAGTCCTAGGCTCTGTGGTTTAACCCACAGCACCACCCGCGTCCCTTTTGCATAACATAAATCCCCGCATATTTTAAATAAACTAAACTATTCAGTATGCCATTATTACATCCATCAAAACTGTTGATTTTAACTTAATGCTGCCCATGTTTTCAAATATACACATTTCCCCCCATATATTCAATAAACATTTTCCAATCTTCTTCTTTAAACGTATGTTCTTCTTGTTCTCTTATTCTATATGTTAGGTCCGCAAGCAGCACATATTCCATCAGTTTAAATTTCCATTCTTCTTTAGATGGGACTAGGCTCGTTTTCCATTTTGGGGCTAATGAAACATGGGCCACAGTACTGTGGTCTGGAGACAGGGATGCCATTTGTTTGACATTTTACTTGACTTGCCTGCCTTAGGATTGGTATTTATCAGGTACTTTGCAGAATAAATCAGGTGTTTGGATGGATGCTCAGGTTGCAAATGCATGTTTGCAACCCGCAGCTGCGCGTCTGCGCACACACGGGTTGTGATTTGGCACTTCTGTGCATGCACAAAGCGCGATTTAGTGCTTCTGCGCATGTGCAACCGCCGAAACCTGGAAGTAACCCGTTCCGGTACTTCCGGGTTTCGGTGGTCTGTAACCTGAAAAAACGCAACCTGAAGCATCTGTAACCTGAGGTATGACTGTATATCTCCTGCCATTCCTCTCAAATGAGCCTGTTTTAAATATTTCTGCTGAACTCCCCAGCCTGGTCCATTGGATTGTTCTCTGACATGCCAACATGTGCCCCAACCTCCTTTTTGTCCAAACCTCTCCTGCTTTTCCCCAAATAGCAAGGCCCCACTCGCTAAAAAAGTCAAAAGCCATGCTTGGCTCCATCCACCAGCCAAGTCTTGTTCAAACCACACTTTGGCAATCCTAGTTTGCCACCCTCCTTCTCCACTCGTTTCTGATGTCACCAGGCGATTGCTAACACCTATATTTGCAGCCTTAAATGTGGGTGGCTGGTGCCCACTAGCCTGGTAGGGAGGAAAGTGGGAAGCCCAGACAGTAGGCAGAGTCTGAGCCCATGACAGACTGAACGAAATAATTCTAGTTTGGTCCGCTCCTGCTTCCTGTTGAGTTCCACAATGGGGCGACACCAAGACTTAGGAGGAGGAAGCTCCCTGGCAATGCCACTCTCTGGGCTGTCTGTAAGTAAGAAAGACAGGTATGTGGGGTGGCGGCGGCTGGGGGGAGATTGAGGTTGGTGGGGGCAGTGCCCAGTTGCCCTAATGGACCAGCCTCCATTAATGGAGCAGACTTAAGCATTGTAAATTTACTTGGAGGTGGGAAAGGAACGTTGGGATTCTCCCATTCTGGCATTCCGGACTTGGGTTGTTGTTTTCCGCACAACTGTCGAATGGCAAGCTCCGCTTACATGTGCATTTTGAGGACTATAGACAGGCACCAAAGTCACCCCAAAGGAGTAAGAGAAATTAGGAGGTGTGCATCCGTTGCTGTCCCCACCCTCAAAAGAAGAAGATAATCTCACCCAGAAGTCCAGCCACTTCGTATGCTTTTTTCTGTTCAATGGTCTCATAGTTCAGAGCTTCAAAGAAAATGTCCAGTACCAGGATGTTCTCCCTGTATGGGAGGAAGCGAAGTGATTACAAGCTTCTAAAACAAGCATCTGCCTGGCAGTGACCAAAGTATCTACCCTCAACCAGCCTTATAAATAATGCCTAGCACCAGCATGGGCACTTACCTGCCTGGACCCAAGATTTAGGGATGTAGCTGGTACCAACCTAAGGCGCTCAGCCTTCAAGAAACAGAGACCCTCTGTAGGACAGGATAGGATTACCTTTCCAGCTGGTGGACCATATCTTTAGATTCCCCCCTAACACTGCCCCGGGCCATTTTAACAGCACACAGATTGAAATTAGACTGTAAGGACTAAGGCAGAGAGGCTTTGGAACAAGGGTCAGCAAACTTTTTCATCTGGGGGCCGGTCCACTGTCCCTCAGACCTTGTGGGGGCCCGGACTATATTTTGAAGAGGAAAAAAATGAACGAATTCCTACGCCCCACAAATAACCCAGAGATGCATTTTAAATAAAAGGGCACATTCTACTCATGTAAAAACATGCTGATTCCTGGACCGTCCGCGGGCTGGATTTAGAAGGCGATTGGGCCAGATCCGGCCCCCGGGCCTTAGTTTGCCTACCCATGCTTTGGAGGGTTATTGTCTGGAAACCCTTATTTTGGCAGAGAGCTGTATCTTCACCTGCCCCTCATCTGATGCCACACATGTTGGGGAACTAGGTGTGGCTTGACTGAAATGGCCTTTTAAAAAATTCCTACATGGCAAACAAAACTTTGCTTTCAGGGCTCTTGGGCATGCTGCAAAACACAGCGCTTTGGGGATTCCCACCTTTGTAACTTTGGAGAAGAGACCCAAATTTGCACCCGTAGACCTAGGTTTGCACCAGGAAATTTGCATCATGGGTCTGTGCCCCATATCTCCTTAGTACTCAGCAATGCCCCAAGCTTGCTGTTTGGGCTTGACCTCCCTTGCTCGAGCGCAGGGTGCAGAAATAATGATGGCAAGCGGATTCGACAGGCGGTGGTGTCCAAAGCTGCGTTAGGCGGCAGCACTCACCCAATGTACTGCTCGCTCTTGTTGTATTTCTTGGCCAGGTACTTGGCTGATGCCTTACTGGGAATCTTGACCATGGAGAGCTCCTTGCCATACCGGGTGACATTGCAAGGCATCTCACACACACAGTAGTCGTTGTCCTTCTCCACCAAGAAGTCTGTGGGAACAGGGAAGGAGAAGCAGATGTCAGTTTGAAACAAGAGTGATTTGGGGAAAGAGATAGGGATTACTGCACTTGCGTTAAGCTCTTCCTTTAGAATCTGAAAGGGTCCATCTATGTGACTCTAAGGGTCTTCCAACCAGGGACAGGTATTATTCATTCATTCATTCATTCATTCATTCATTCATTTCCCCAACTACTCTGGGTGGCTCCCAACAGAATATTAAAAACATGATAAAACATCAAACATTCAAAACTTCCCTAAACAGGGCTGCCTTCAGGTGTCTTCTAAAAGTCAGATACTGTACCGGTAGTTGTTTATTTCCTTGACATCTGATGGGAGGGTGTTCTACAGGGCAGGCACCACTATCCAGAAGGCCCTCTGCCTGGTTCCCTGTAACCTCACTTCTCACAGGGAGGGAACCACCAGAAGGCCCTCAGTGCTGGACCATAGTTTCCGGGCTGAACGATGGGGGTGGAGATGCTCCTTCAGGTATACAGGACCGAGGCTGTTTAGGGCTTTATAGGTTAGCACCAACACTTTGAATTGTGCTGAAAAACGTACTGGGAGCCAACGTAGGTCTTTTAGGAGAGGTGTTATGTGGTCTCGGCAGCCGCTCCCAGCCACCAGTCTAGCTGCTGCATTCTGGATTAGTTGTAGTTTCCAAGTCACTTTCAAAGGTAGCCCCACGTAGAGCGCATTGCAATAGTCCAAGCGGGAGATAACCAGAGCATGCACCACTCTGGCAAGACAGTCTGCAGGCAGGTAGGGTCTCAGCCTGCATACCAGATGGAGCTGGTAGACAGCTGCCCTGGACAAAGAATTGACTTGCGCCTCCATGGACAGCTGTGAGTCCAAAATAACTCCCAGGCTGTGCACTGGTCCTTCAGGGGCACAGTTACCCTATGTCTATGTCCACAGAGACACCATCATCATATCATCATATTTTTATAATTTATATGCCGACCATCTGCTTACCAAGAGCGGGGTCTGCACACTCCTTGTATTGCTCAGGGGTGCAGTAGGGAGCATCACCTGCAGGGAAACAGAAAAGCAAGCAAATCACACCACAAAGTCACCTATCACGGTGAGACTCTATTCTGACCTCCTGCATTCACAAGCAGTGAAATTTAACCAGGGAGGGGAATTTGCAATGTTCTGCAAAGCCCACACATCTCTCTGCTTTGCATGAGTGCAAATGGGACTCCTCATTCTACCCATAAATGTGAACTGAAAGAGGAGGGGGCAACCTTCATGTTTAAATTGCTGCAGTTTTGTGATAAAGGGGTTGTGGCTTCTCTGCACCAGGCGATCCTTAAACTCCAAGAGATGCTGCGTCCCCCACCTCTCTCCTTTGTTCTGTCCACTTTCACTGCTAAGGAAGCCGACGGCATCTTTTTAGAGCTGGCATTTCCCTGGTTGAGCTGCCCAGATGATTAACCTTGTTATGCCTTTGCATGCAAGGTAGATAAGCTCCATGGTTTTCTCTAGTGGCTTTTCGATGCAGCAGTGTCTCCTACACAGCGAGGGAAGGACATTTCAGCTCCCTGCCCCCTCTTAAAAAGCTGAGCTCTGAGTCAGCTGGAACATCTTGTATTCCTCATTACAGTGGGACCTCTGGTTGTGAACGGGATCCGTTCCGGAGGCCTGTTCGCAACATGAAAAGAACGCAACCTGCAGCGGCGCGTCTGGGCATGCGCGGGTTGCAATTCATCGCTTCTGCGCATGCGCGTGACGTCACTTTGTGCTTCTGTGCATGCGCGAGTGGCGAAACCCGGAAGTAACCCTTTCCGGTACTTCCGGGTCACTGCGGGACGTAACCTGAAAGAACGTAACATGAAGCGGACGTAACATGAGGTGTGACTGTAATCTTTTGTGGTTAGAAGCTGGTATCATTCCTAATTCCTGTGTGGAGATCATCCGCTGCTGATAGAAATACAGCAAGTCAAAAGGAAGGGTGGGGCTGAGCCTTTTCCCTTGACATGCTAGCTTTCTATGTGTGGGGAGAGGGAATTTTCTCCATTAGGGGAAAAGATTCAAAAGCTGAATTCCCTAGGAATCATATCTGTAAAAACTGCCGAAGCCTTGCCCAGAGAGTTAACAGGTCGGGTTTTGTTAAGCCCTGCCCACAGAGTGGCCTTGTTCTCACATCAACACTAAGCCAAGCCAAGAGCGTGGGCACCTTAGCAAAAATTAAGTCCACTTCACTCCTTCCATGGTCCTGTTGCTGCCACACTACCCAGAGCTTGTCATGCACTATATGTGAACAAACCACAAGCGGGAAATCAAGAATAAACCTTGGTTACAGCTCATGGTTTGTTGGGACTTGGGAGTGATACAAACCATGAGTCTGGGTTTGCACGTAATATTAAGCCAAACCTTGGCTTGGTCTTGGATTGTGCAGTGGCAGCAGTAGAACCGAGGAGCAAAGCAGCCATGATTTTCGCTCTGGGGATCCTCATGCTTGTTCTGTCTGGCTAGGTTTGGCTTCATGCTGTGTGTGAATCGGGCCGTGTAGCAAGCAAAACACAGTACAGTTAGTGAAAACATAGTCCTAAAAGAGACAGTGGACACTCGGGTTGCGAACGTGATCCATGCGGGATGCATGTTCGCAACCCGCAATGTTCGCAACCTGCGTCTGCGCGTCTGCACACACGCGGGTTGAGATTTAGTGCTTCTGCACATGCGTGACTGCCAAAACCTGGAAGTAACTTGTTCCGGTACTTCTGGGTTTCGGTAGTCCGCAACCCGAAAAAACGCAACCTGAAGCGGCTGTAACCCGAGGTATGACTGTACATTTCCTTTGCATCTCTAGTTGCATTCAGGGTTCTCAGAGACCTTGTAAGACAGAGACCTGATAAAGGAAAAAAAGAAGGAAAAAACCAACAAACTAAAAAACAAAACAAAAACCAAAGCAGTCATTACATAAGCAAAGCTGGATATAAGTCTCTGCTGCTGTCTCTCAAATCCTGATTCCATCTCCTTCTCCAGAAGTCTGAATACCATTTGACAGGATCAGCCTGCCTTTGGAAAAAACAACTCTTCCCTCTCTTTCTCCTCATACATCTGCACTATTATTCTGCCTGCCCTCTTCTCCCCGGGAGATGCAACTGACTGGAATAATTAATTCATATTTATTATGCTAATTGCATCCCTTGACAAGGATTTCTGCTTAACAGGAAAGATTGAATACAGACCAAGGTGGGCTGGTTGAGGGAGCGCTGGGTTGTGTTAAAGGATGCACTCAGTATACAGAATGGGAGTGGCTGCAATTAGGGAACAGCTATAATAGTTATAATTAAGCTTGAACCAAAAGAGGGGGGCCCCTTTTCATAAACATTTTCAGCAGCCCCGAAAACTTTGATTTTGCAAAGGCTTGAAAATATTCTACAATTCAGGAAGCAATACCCTCACTTCTGGCAGTGAAGGAACCGCCAGAAGGCCCTTGCAGCTGGACCTCAGTGTCCGGGTTGAACGATGGGGTGGAGACGCTCCTTCGGGTATACTGGACCGAGGCTGTTTAGGGCTTTCATGGTCAGCACCAACACTTTGAATTGTGCTTGGAAACGCTTGCTCCGTGCATTACAGGGCCAGGAAAGGGAGCCACCTCCCTCCCAGTTTCGCGGCACCTTCAGGACTGCTGCAGACCAGTGGTGTAGCATGGGTGGCACCCTTAAGAATTTTGCGCCCCGGGCCACCGCCCCTGTGCCCTCCCTGCTACGCCACTGTGCTAACTCACAAGTACACATGTGTGGTATTTGCCTCCTAGGATGGGTCATAAGGAAAGGGTTAAATGAGTGTGTGATGTGATTGGCCAGTTAGAATGCAAGGGGAGGAGTAAAAGTTAGAGTGGGAGGTTTTGAAAGTTTGTTGAGGTTTGGGAGTTGAAGAAGGAAGAGGGAGGATTAGGTGTGGGTTGGTAGAGTTGTATTGTGAGAGAGTGAGAGGAATTGTTAGGTGGAGTCAGATAGAAAGTTGGGAAGAATCAGTTTGGAGTTGTTAGGAACTAAGATTAAGAAACTGCCAAGAAAAATTAACTGTAACCATAAGCTTGTTCCTGCATTTAAAAATAAACTTGATTATTTGTTAATGTTAACAATTGTCTGGACTCCGTGTGTCCCCGTGAGAAACGGGGTGGTGGCAGTGAAGAAAGCAATCACAGTGGTGGCACAGGGTCAATAGACCGTCAAACGTCCAGGGGCCCTGTGTGATCGCCACAACATGGCATGCCAGAGCACCACCAGACCAGTGTGCCCGTTCACGAGGAACTATACTCTCGTAGGTAAGCAGGGGACTCCTGATCTTTCAAAGTATCCTCCAAAAGGCTTGTTTTAAATCTCTCTGTCTGTGCAATTGTTGTGGCCTCCACCCTTTGCTCTGCCACTGGCTTCATCGCTCCATCTTACCAGGCATGTGCACCATGCGGCAGTTGCAGTTCTCCACCAAGTAGCGGGTCTCACAGTCGATGCGGCAGGCTGCAATGCTGTAGGTATCGTAGAATTCGGATTCCATGGTCACCGACTTGCAGTCACCCCAAGGTGGAGGAAGGTAGATGAGCTGCACGGAGAATGGGCAAAGAGGGGCTGAAAATGGCACTATCTCATCACCCTTTCCTACAGAAGGAGAAGGGCTGTGTTTGGGCCACAGTGCTTAAGCAGGGCCTCATCAGACCTCATCCTTCCTCTCCCACTTTCACAAACAGAGGAAGAGTGGTCAACATGGTCTACAGTTCCCGTCACCCAGGTCTATTTGTCCTAGTGCAGGCATGGCCAAACTTGGCCCTCCAGATGTTTTGGGACTACAATTCCCACCATCCCTGACCACTGGTCCTGTTATCTAGGGATGATGGGAGTTGTAGTCCCAAAACATCTGGAGGGCCAAATTTGGCCATGCCTGCCCTAGTGGCTGGGGCCGATGGAACTTGTATTCCAACAATATCTGCCTAGTAAGACTGCCTTACAGGACTGCATCTGCTGCCTTGGCTCCACAATTGCGCCTGCAATGTCGACAGGCAGGAAACCAGTGTGGGCTGAATGCAAAGGCCATGTGAACAAGCAGAAGGCCAGATGCCAGAAATTACAGCCTATCACAACTCTTGCTCTCACAAGAAGATATCACAATGTGCCAGAGCTGATTCAAGCTAGAACAAAAAGGCACATGTTACAACCCTCCTATTACTGTAACACAGGATTACAGGAGGGAGATCTCATGTTTGAATCCTCTCCTGTGATCACAAACACTTTGAAAGTGGAAATGCTAGTTCAGACAGGTTGAAAAGCAGTGGACAGATATTTCATTTTCATGTTATTTATTCAGGTGGCATCTTTATCCTGCTCTTCACCCAAAGAACTCAGGTTAGCATAAATGGATCTCTCCCCATTTATTTATCTTGTGCAACTATCTTGTGAAGTTGGGCTGAGAGGTAGCAATCTGCTCAAAGTCACCTGGTAGACTTTGCGGGTGAGTCCAAGCTGAACCCTCCATAAGCGGCTCACAGGGGTCATTTAAGTGGCCCATGAGTTGCCCCCAAACCAAGCTGCCTGCTCATCGAGTTACCTTGCCTGGGGTAGCACGGCATGGGGACTCACTTCCACAGTGCTGGAAATTGCGTCTGCGCAGACGCCAGAAATTGCAGGTGCGCACGCTCTGGCCCACGGAGGGATCCGCTGGAGTGAACCACCCCAGGCAAGGTAAACCTTGCTGACCCCTGCTCTAGTGGCTATACCAATTGGCTGTATTGTACTTCCCGGTACTTGCAAGTAAGCAAGTGTCAGGGAGAAAGGTTCTATTCTAGCCTCTTCCCTAATGTGACATATTCCCCTGTGCACTGGGTTTTTGGAGACTGGAAGGGATTTGGTCATGTAATATTGTAATACTTATTGCTGCAAGCACTTTGGAAAGGGCTGGAAAAGTGGTACAGGAAAACGTTTTTAAAAGTAAATAAAAAGTCTGTTTGCATTCTCAAAAAAGTCTGTCTGCATTCTTTGTTTTGCTTTAAACACACACACACAATTTCCCCCCCAAGACATCCACCATGTCTTCAAGCACATATTTCCTCCGAGTTTCTATTATCTCCCGCTGAGTTTTCGTTATTAAATATTCCAGCTGAAATTAATAACTCACCAAATCTGCTCTATTCATGCTGATGATTGTGATTCACTACTTGACCGTGGAAGAGTGCTTAGAATCTATCCTTTTAGAGCCTTTCCCCTCCTCAAACTTTGATGTTAAAAGGATGGTTTATTTATATATGTTACGCATTTTAAAGAATAATTATATACCCATTTCTCAACAAAAGTGCTTCTGAAAGCAGCTTCCTTACAACACAGGGGCAATAATAAAACACAGCAATGAATATGTAGGCTTATACTGAGGATGTTCCCATGCAGAGAAGGGTAGAAGTCAGAAGTCCTTGCTACCAGCTTACTGGCACTAACCATTTGCTGGCACTCCCTTGACACCAAAGTCCTTTTGGACTTCCAGTACTTGGCATGACCAAGCTTGATAGCTCAGTCGGTTAGAGCGTGGTGCTGTTAACGCCAGGATTGCAGGTTCAATCCCCATATGGGACAAGCTGCATATTCCTGCATTGCAGGGGGTTGGACTAGATGATCCTTAGGGTCCCTTCCAGCTCTACAATTCTAATAATAATAATAATAATAATAATAATAATAATAATAATAATGTTTTATTATATTATTTTCCCCAGCCACTCCGGGAGGTTCTTAGCAGACTAGTAAAATCACGACAAAACATCAAACATTCAAAACTTCCCTAAACAGGGCTGCCTTCAGATGTCTTCTAAAAGTCAGATAGTTGTTTATTTCCTTGACATCTGATGGGAGGGCGTTCCGCAGGGCGGGCACCACTACCGAGAAGGCCCTCTGCCTGGTTCCCTGTAACCTCACTTCTCGCAGGGAGGGAACCACCAGAAGACCCTCAGAGCTGAACCTCAGTGTCTGGGCTGAGCAATGGGGGTGGAGATGCTTCTTCAGGTATACTGGGCCAAGGCTGTTTAGGGCTTTAAAGGTCAGAACCAACACTTCAAATTCTATTCAACACTATGATTCTATTTCCCCTACTTGGTACCTGTATTAGATGTGAATTAACTTTGTGCACGTGCTTTTGTTATTCTAAGCTCTCTGTTTGTGCGTGAGCGCATTTTTATATTTGCAATTGTAACTACTTCTCTATATGTTTTTATTATATTGTAAATTGCTTTTGGCTGATGCATGAGGAGCAATTCATAAATGAAATGAGTACAGTTGTACCTTGGTTTTCGAACAGCTTACTGTAGTTCTCGAATGTTTTGGCTCCCAAACACCGCAAACCCAGAAGTGATTGTTCCGGTTTGCGAGCTATTTTTGGAAGCCGAACGGGGCCGCGCTTTGGTTTCTGAACATTTTGGAAGTCAAACAGACTTCCGGAACGGATTCCGTTCAACTTCCAAGGTACGACTGTACTAGATTTCACTTTCCGGAGTTTTTCTGGCTCTAAACTTTCCATTCAATACCGCTGTTGTATTTGTCATCAGCAAGAAAAAGAAGAGGGGATTCTACTCTCCTGCTGCCTAGACCTTGAGGATGTGCTAGTACAGATATCTGAGGCTGGCTGAAAGGGAAGGGAATGTTCACATCTTACCCGTTGTTCCTGGCAGGAGACAAACGTCTGAAAACCAGGTGCCACCCCAAATCCCAGCTGGTCAATGCAGGGTGGCTCATCCTGGCTGTGGATCTGCACCTTAATCCCAGCTTCAAATGAGGTCTCATCTGCAGAACAGAGAGATGGAGAGTAGAAAAGGGGGTTCAGGCGATCACAGCAGGGCTCAAGCTCAGAGCCAGAAAGCGAAGGCCCTTCTCCTTACCTTGCATCGATAGGGAGATACATGGGGACCAAAGAGGGAAAATACCCCCCTGTCTGATTCACAGCCCACCCCCTGCATCAATCAATACCAACTACCGTATTTTTCGCTCTATAAGACGCACTTTTCCCCCTTCAAAAATTATGGGGAAATTTGTGTGCGTCTTATGGAGCGAATGCAGGCTCCTTGGCTTCAGCGATAGCAATGCGAAGCCTCCGAAGTGCAGAGGGAGAGCTCCCCCTGCGCTCCGGAGGCTTGCGGATAGCTGCCTGAAGCCTGGAGAGTGAGAGGGGTTGGTGCACACCGATCCCTCTTGCTCTCCAGGCTTTGCTTCGCTGGAGAGGCGCTGCACAGTTTTCCCTCTCTGCACAGCGCCCCTTCAGCGAAGCAGGAGGAGAAATGGAAGGGGCTCCGTTTCTCCTGCTGCTTCGCTGAAGTGGCGCTGAGCAGAGAGGGGGAGAATTTTTCCCCCCTGTTCTCCCCCTCCTATGGTCCGGTGTGTCCTATGGTCCGGCGTGTCCTTTATAGAGCGAAAAATACGGTACATTTTTAGCTTTATGTGATCGGAGCCAGAATAATCTGGAGACTTAAAACAGAAATCAGTCCTCCCCACTTCATTTTTTTAAAAAAGCAAGGCTGAGTCCAGGAATGCATAAAGTAATACAAAGTAAATCTTCCCAGAACATTTCTTAGCTGCACCTAGAACCGACCCATTCATTAGCTAGGGAAAAGGTCTTCCAAGTCAAAGGGAAAGATTCCCAGATAGGGTTGTGTTCGAACACCCCGCTTTATTGAAATCAAGGCCCAGCCAGGGACCTAGAAAGCTCCTCCCTTGGGATCCACAGTGACCTTTGACCTGGGATTCAGGCTTCACTTCCCACCCCGCCTCACCGTAGCCTTGACAACATATTCCCCCTACAAAGAACAATGTGCTATTTGTAGATAAGAGGCATCGCCTTCCCTAGCTATGATCAGCTGGTTGCCATGGTGAGACACATAGGACACAAATGGGGGCGGGAGTGACTGAAAGGAAGGGAAGAGAGAAAGTGCGGTGTGGGTTTAAGGAGTCGGCGCAGGTCTAGAAAATCAACGAAGCAGAGAGAGACCCACTGGGTTGAGGAATGGGGCAAGGAGGCAGAATGTGGAGTGATCAATGGGAAGCTGGAACAAAGGGTGGGGTATTTCTGGGGGGAGGCATCAAGAGGGATGGGGTGCGGGAGGCAGAGGTCTGAGAAGATGAGGCAGCAGCAGAAGAGGAGAAATTGTCATGTGGCACAAAGGAAAATATGGATAAGGGAGGAGTCAATGTAGAGTCAGGGAAGCCAGGAGTAACTCTTACCTGTCTCTCCCCAGACAGGGAGATACTCATCTTGCTGAATGTCCAACATGATCTCCAAGCCGTTCCCTGTTCCTCCCTTATTGGTGATGCGTGGTGGCTTGTCAGGCTGACCTGAGTTGAATGTGTAGCACTTTCCATAGCGTGTGTACACCTGTGGAGGAGAACGGAAGAACAAAAATTAGACAAGGAGATAGAATATTCCTTTGGAGTCCATGCGTCCCTGCCAGCTCTTGATGGTCAAGAGAAAGCCTGGCGTATCGCTCCATCACACTCTGCAGGTAGGCATAATAAGCAAGATTCCCAGGATGTGCTTTCAGCACTTGGTTTCAGCACCAGGGACAGCTCCGGGCCATCTGGAGTTTTGCAGCTTTCCTAATAACAACCCATTCTCAATGACCTTGAAGCCATAGGGATACTGGGCATGTACAAGTGAATTGCCTGGAAGGAATGTGGAATGTACTGGATTTGAGTGGTGGGGCTGCAATGTGTGACAGAAGCAGAACTGGATCATTGTCATTCTACTGCAATTTCCTTTTCGACTCAGGTTTTGGGTTATGCATTTACCAATGGCCCTGGAGAGAATGTGAACCAAAGGCAACACAGTGAAGTCAATAATAATAATAATAATAATAATAATAATAATAATAATAATAAATTTTATTTATATCCCGCCCTCCCCAGCCGAAGCCGGGCTCAGGGCGGCTAACAACAATAAAACAGTACAAAAGTACAGCACAAACAACACTCTAAAATCATTCATTATAAAATTAATTCAAATCAAGCCAGTGGCAACCATTGGGCCAGAGCTCTGCGAAGATTGCTGAGAGAGGGAGTCAGGCTGTGCCCTGGCCAAAGGCCTGGTGGAACAGCTCTGTCTTGCAGGCCCTGCGGAAAGATGTCAAGTCCCGCAGGGCCCTAGTCTCTTGTGACAGAGTGTTCCACCAGATCGGAGCCACAGCCGAAAAAGCCCTGGCTCTAGTTGAGGCCAGCCTAACTTCTCTGTGGCCTGGGACCTTCAAGATGTTTTTATTTGAAGACCGTAAGTTTCTCTGTGGGGCATACCAGGAGAGGCGGTCCCGTAGGTACGAGGGTCCTAGGCCGTATAGGGCTTTAAAGGTTAAAACCAGCACCTTAAACCTGATCCTGTACTCCACCGGGAGCCATTGCAGCTGGTATAGCACCGGGTGAATGTGATCTCGCAGCGAAGACCCCGTAAGGAGTCTCGCTGCAGCATCCTGCACCCACTGGAGTTTCTGGGTCAGTCTCAAGGGCAGCCCCACGTAGAGCGAGTTACAATAATCCAGTCTGGAGGTGACCGTCGCGTGGATCATAGTGGCTAGGTCAGGGTGAGAGAGATAAGGAGCCAACTGCTTAGCTTGGCGGAGATGGAAAAATGCCGCCTTTGTTATAGCTGCAATCTGCGCCTCCATGGAAAGGGAGGTGTCGAAGATTACACCCAAACTCTTAACGGACGGTGCTGGCACTAATTGTGCCCCCGCAAGAGATGGGAGTTGCCCCCCCAATCCCATATCGTCCAGTCCCAGCCACAGGACTTCTGTCTTCGAAGGATTTAGCTGCAACCGGCTCCCACGTAACCATCCAGCCACAGCTTCCAAACATCTGGTCAGTGTGTCTGGGGCCGAGTCAGGATGGCCATCCATCAACAGATAGAGTTGGATGTCATCGGCATACCGATGGCAACCCAGCCCAAAACTCTGGACAAGCTGGGCGAGGGGGCGCATAAAGATGTTGAAAAGCATCGGGGAGAGTATCGCACCCTGAGGTACTCCACACACCAAGGAGTGGCGCGATAACAATTCCCCCCCAAGCGCCACCCTCTGTCCCCGACCAGAGAGAAACGAGCGCAGCCATTGGAAGGACTGTGCCCTGGATCCCCACGTCGGCAACTCAAGTTCCAGAGGCAAATATTCATTAGTTGCCCACCCGCCCCAAACCTTGCTGACGAAGGATAACTTCAACTATGCTAGTATTTAGACTCTACTGGGTAATTACTCATTTGAAGATGCTCAGATAATGGTCCCTGCCAGGCAATTCATGTAACAAATAGGCTGAGAAGTTAGATTTGGCAGCTGGTACCCAAGGAATACTGAAGTGTTTTGTAGATACCAGCTGAGTTAAGTCCATCCCATCCAGCGCTTATGTAATGGATATGTTTAAGCTAAAGTCTTAGGTGATAAAAACGGGGCGCAGGCTGGGAACGAGTTCACCCAGTGACAGTAAGTGATCACACCAGGGATATACTCATATCACAGCTTCTGGGTTTGTTTTCTTGCCCCAATTCCAGGATCCCTTAAAAGCATGAGGCAGGTTTCTCTCTGTCTTCCAGTGTAGTTTCCGAGCGCCTTGCATGCTCCAGTAGCTGGAATTGCTTTCCGATTAGCGCAATATCAGTAGCTGCATGCTCCTATTCCCCCACGGTGGATGTGTTTGCTCATTTGAAGTCATGTCGCTTTTCATAATGACAGAGCTAACCATTTGTAGCTTGCAGAGCCGAGCCTTTATAGTTCATCAAAGACTTTGTGGACCTGGATTATCCCTTCTCCTTGTTCTAATATATGATCCAACATCCTTGTTTTGTCCATTACACCTGAGAAGACACAGAGGTTTTTTCTTCTTGATTTAAGGAGGCTCACAATAAAAGTATTTTGTGAATTCCCCAGTGTACTCTTCTCCCTTCCCACGGTTGATGCTATGGGGTTCCAAGTCCTTTCTAGGCTCCATCCTGCCCCTGTCTTTGCTCCATGTTGGGTATATTTCACACAAATCCCGGTGCCTAGCCTTGATTTGAAAATCAATACTAAGCTGAACATAAAGTGGCCGTTGTTTTATACAGTAGGCTCATGTTACAATGAACACAGTCAATTTTGGGAGACAAAATGCAATTTGAAGGGATGGGGAAGAAAAAGCTTTTTGTAAAACAAAGGATAGAAGCAGCCTTTTCCTTAATGTTGCATAGATGTTTGAATATGTTGTTGTTTAGTCGTTTAGTCATGTCCGACTCTTCATGACCCCATGGACCAGAGCACGCCAGGCACTCCTGTCTTGAATATATCTGTTCTATTAGTTATATTAAAGAGGAAGTAATATGGGCATTAGTTGTGATCATGCAACAATAGAATTTGGGGTAGATTTTGATTATTTTGATTGTATATGCATTCATCATTATGTCTGTCTGAGAAACATATACCATAAAGAAGGCTGATTGCCGAAGAGTTGATGCTTTTGAATTATGGTGCTGGAGGAGACTCTTGAGAGTCCCATGGACTGCAAGAAGATCAAACCTATCCATTCTGAAGGAAATCAGCCCTGAGTGCTCACTGGAAGGACAGATCCTGAAGCTGAGACTCCAATACTTTGGCCACCTCATGAGAAGAGAAGACTCCCTGGAAAAGACCGTGATGTTGGGAAAGATGGAGGGCACAAGGAGAAGGGGACAACAGAGGACCAGATGGCTGGACAGTGTTCTCGAAGCTACCAGCATGAGTTTGACCAAACTGCGGGATGCAGTGGAAGACAGGAGTGCCTGGCGTGCTCTGGTCCATGGGGTCACGAAGAGTCGGTCACGACTAAACGACTAAACAACAACGAGAAACATATTTATTTAAATTATAAAAGCTGTTCAAGTTACTTTCCTGAGGAATCGATTTGTGCTTTAAACACACCGGGATTCCCCAACAAATATTGGCTTATACCATTTTGGGTTTTCTTCCATTTTGCTGTGTTGTTTTTTTTAAAAAATAAATATTATGATTATTATAACCACTGGCCAAACCACTCTCTGTTCCATTACTAGAAATGTTTGCCTAATCTTGTTGTTTTTTACCTTGGAAAGTGCCTAATGGATATTGATACCTCTACTCAGTACAGTGGTGTGCTTGAATTTCAGGTATTATAAATAATATTCCATCCCTCTTATGTGACAGTGACTAGATAGAATTGGAAATTGTCTCTGAGCATTTAATTGCATTACCAATTTTTATACCAGACTGTCTACTGATCCAGTTTACAGGCACAGTCTAAATGCTGTCTCTGATAACTGAAATAAAGATGACTGTGTTCCTCAAATCTGAAATAAAATTCTTTTCCCCTTTTAAAAAAAAGCAGGGAGGAAAACTTGCTTGTGAGGAGAAGTCATGTCACAACGTTACTTTTAGTAATAAAAGGAGGGGAAGTGTGTACTAGCTTCTCTGTATGTGAACTGATGCTTTGTCAAGCATTTAAACTTGGATGCATGCAAGTTCTTTTCAAGTAACTAGTTTTATTTCTTGGTTCTATTTGTGGACTAGCCAGTGAACATAAAAGCATTTGCTTTTTTGCAAACGCATAAAGACAGGATGATAAAGCTGTGTTGGAGGAAATACGATTTAAAATTATGATTCATGATTCATATGCATCAATAAAGGAAGATTAATTCTATTTCACTAATTGGAAAAATGGTCGGGTAAATGTCTAAACAGGAACTGAACACGCGCAGTCAATGGAAATAGGAACGGATGGGAAAGTATTAGAAATTAAGTATTTTACTGTGAGCAGCAAAGGAGGGAGGAAAAAGAAGCATCTTGGAAGCGGGATGGAAAGTTAATTTTTAAATTGGTGTTAAATTTGAATTAATTTGTTGTTAATTTGTTTAAAATTTGGAAAACGAATAAAAAAATTCATTGGTAAAAAAAGCGTTTGCTTTTTAAAGGTCTGTTCAGAGTTAAACTTATATGAACATTGTGAACTGTATGAAAAATGAAACATCGCAGAACGAAGGCACCGAACTCAAGCAGACTTCTGCATTGACTTTGAATACTTGCATGTGTTACATTGCCAAGTTGTCTGATCTCCTTAAGTCCACTCACATCAGTGGGAATCCTACCCATGGTGTGAAGTCTTTGTGGCATCTAACCTGCAACCCTGGGGATGTTGGAAGTCAATGAGAGTAAGCCGTTCAAAGGGGTGTTAATCATCTGATGAATTATGAATTTGTATGCCTGGCTGGTGAATTATTAAAAGTCGTTCAGTCTTCATCAAAGTGCGCAGGTCTCATGAGCAAGGATTCAAGTCATTGTTATGAAAAATGAATCTCTGAATTTAGCTCTCGGATATTCAGAAAGCTCTATTCGTTCTCATATGCCCATGTAGTTTAAATGATACAAATCCCTACTTTGCAAAGAAAATGCATGGGAGCAAGGGGCTAGGGCCGGATGATAACTGGTTTTCAACGTCGTGATGTATCTTCAGCTAAACATTGTGATATACCGCTATACAGTCGTACCTCGGCTCCCGAACGCCTTGGGAGTCGAACGTTCCAGCTCCCGAACGATTGAAAACTGGAAGGGAGTGTTCCGGTTTTTGAACGTTCTTTTAGAAGCCGAATGTTCAACAGGGCTTCCGTGGCTTCTGATTGGCTGCAGGAACTTCCTGCGGCCAATCAGAAGCTGCGCTTTGGTTTCTGAACGTTTCAGAAGTCAAATGGACTTCCGGAAGGGATTCTGTTCGACTTCCGAGGTGTGACTGTATCACAATGTCTGAAATAAAGATGGAACTATAGAGAGGCACTGGCTGGCTCCATGGTTTACCATGCACTGTGATTTTTGCTGGTGCCTGCTTTTGCGATTTGCTGCAAGAATCCAGAGAACCATTGGCTGGCTTCATGGTTTCCCCCACATTGTGATTTTTGCATAGCACACAAACACGCACATCATGATTCACGATATATTGCCACCACAAAAATAATGAAACTGGTACGGGCTCTACCTGAAACTGATACCCAGCTCTACCTCTCTTTCAAATCAGAACCAGTGAAGGTGGTGAAAGTCCTGTGTGAGGCATTTGGAGGATGGGTGGCGGCTAACAGATTGAGATTGAATCCTGACAAGACAGAAGTACTGTTTTTGGGGGACAGGGGCAGGCAGGTGTGGAGGATTCCTTGGTCCTGAATGGGGTAACTGTGCCCCTGAAGGACCAGGTGCGCAGCCTGGGAGTCATTTTGGACTCGCAGCTGTCCATGGAGGTGCAAGTCAATTCTGTGTCCAGGGCAGCTGTTTACCAGCTCCATCTGGTATGCAGGCTGAGACTATCTGCCCGGAGATGGTCTCGCCAGAGTGGTGCATGCTCTGGTTATCTCTCGCTTGGACTACTGCAATGCGCTCTACATGGGGCTACCTTTAAAGGTGACCCGGAAAATACAACTAATCCAGAACGCGGCAGCCAGACTGGTGACTGGGAGTGGCCGCCGAGACCATATAACACCGGTCTTGAAAGACCTACATTGGCTCCCAGTATGTTTCCGAGCACAATTCAAAGTGTTGGTGCTGACCTTTAAAGCCCTAAACGGCCTCGGTCCAGTATATCTGAAGGAGCGACTCCACCCCCATCGTTTTACCCAGACACTGAGGTCCAGCACCGAGGGCCTTCTGGCAGTTCCCTCACTGCAAGAAGCCAAGTTATAGGGAACCAGGCAGAGGGTCTTCTTGGTAGTGGCGTCCTCCCTGTGGAACACCCTCCCACCAGATGTCAAAGAGAACAACTACCACCAGACTTTTAGAAGACATCTGAAGGCAGCCCTGTTTAGGGAAGCTTTTAATGTTTGATGTATTACAGTATTTTAATGTTTTTTTGGAAGCCGCCCAGAGTGGCTGGGGAAGCCCAGCCAGATGGGCGGGGTATAAATAATAAATAATAATAATAATAATAATAATAATAATAATTGAACTGGTTTTGGATGCTATATCAATATATCACCCAGACTTAAAAGGGGGCATCGTTAGAGTCATGGCATCTATGTCATGAAATACCACTGGAAGGGAAAGAGAAGAGACCCTTCAGTTTTCAAGGATGCTTCCATGGCCATTTGTACATTTGTGCAGCTTCCCTGCCTAGATGCTTCAGGCCTCTTGACTAAAAGGGTGGAAAAGCTGCCCAATTAGTCGAGCATTTCAACAGTCTCAGCTTCCAATATACTTTAAGAACTCTTATCGCTGTGAAGATAGACTTGAAAGCGCGTGGCGATGTCTGGCAAAATCTACAAAGCCAGCAGGAGTTCAGCAGCAAGGCTTTCAGAATGCGTTGGGAGGGGCAAATAAATTCTGGTACCGGGAGAAAGATGCACAGGATGGACTTTTGGATTTACTCAAATTCAAATTTATTAATAAGAGAAAAAAGTGCAGGGTGTAGCCAATAATATATTCAAACTTAACAGTGCAGTCCCGAGCATGTCAATAAATTAAGCCCCAGATAATCTGAAAGCTGCAATCACTGAACTCAGTGAGACGTACTTCTATTGGAACTTGCTTAGGGTTGAGTTGTTGCAGTGCAACGCAATGCACAAAGTATATGTCCAAGTCATGACGTTCAGGACTGCTGCCTAAGTTGCAAAGAGAATGCAGTTCATTTCAAGAGGGAGTTGGGCATGTTTTGCCTGGAGGAAAATTGTGGGGCGGGGGGTAAATATGATCAATATATAAACAAGGATCTTGCAGAAGTAGGAGTTAGAAGCGTCTATTTATTTACGGAGCCAGGGTCTCTATTTAATGCAAGGGAAGGGTCTGAAATAATACACTTCCCAACCATTCCTGCACAGCCCAGAAAAAGGATGGGATGGCAGCATAGATGCCAACTCTCTGGTGCCCTAGGTGCCCAAGAACCCAAAAAATCCCCCAGGAAGGGGCTGGGCACCCACAAATTTTGGTGCCAGGGCCATGTAGGCTGCATGGCACCCAGAGCCCTGGGCACCCAAGCTGGGACTCCTGGATTGCAGACATCTGAAGGTACTTCTCTAGCGGGCACTGAAATGGTCTCCAGGAGCTACTGGCAAACCTAGAATCAGAATCAGACTAATGATGCTGGATGGCTCAGTTGGTTAGAGTGCAGTGCTGATAATGCCCGGGTTGCAGGTTCGATCCCTGAAAGGGACAGCTGCATATTCCTGCACTGCAGGTTGTAGGGCCACATGATCCTCAGGATCCCTTCCAACTCTCTAATTCTTTGACCCCCAGCCCTGCAGCATTCTGGATACACACATACACATGCCAGGGTCAGCACAGGAGGAAAAAAATGTGTCGGACACACACACACATAAACAAGCTTCACAAAGTTCAAATCATGCAGTGACTCTTAACCCAGTGGCGAAGGAAGGTGGGTGCGGTGGATGCGGTCCACCCCGGGTGCCATCCCTGGGGGGGATGACATTGCCGTGCCCTCCCTGGGCCGCCACTCGCTGCTCGCGGTACCCTCCCCCTGAGCTGCCGCTCACCGTATGCACCACCCTCCATGGGACACCGCTCATCACACACAGCACCCCCAGGCCATCCCTGAAGGGGGGGTGACATTGCTGTGCCCCCCCGGGCCGCTGCTCACGGCACCCCCCATGGCTGCCGCTCACTGTGCACGGCACCCTCTGTGGGATGCTGCTCATGGCACACCCCATGGGACACCGCTTGTCGCACATGGCACCCCCGGGCCATCCCTGATGGGGGGGTGACATTGCCATGCTGCCCCCCTGGGCCGGCTCTCACCATGCGCAGCACCCCCCCGGCCGCTGCTCACCGTACATGGCAACCTGGGGGGCCACTCGCCCTGCCCCCAGGGTGCACCCCACCCTGGGGACCAGAGCACCTAGCTCTGCCTCTGCCTTAACCATCAGAGATGGGAATTGGGGTTCCTGCCATCTGTTACTGCGAACAAGCCCACCTCGTGGTTGGAAACAGAAGTATGTTAGCAGATCACGAAGAGGCTTAAAGATCTTCCCACACAAGTACCAGAAACAGCTCTGCAGGAGAGAGGCAGCCTGCCTCCAAGTTACTGGTGAACGTGTCGTGCCTCTTGCAGGTCACAGCTAAACGGGAGTGAACAAAAAGCTCCCACGGCAAGATGTGCAGCCAGATTACATTCATGTTCATTCATAACAAGGTCACACTGACTGAACTGGGGCGTGTGGCCAAGGAAGCGAGTGTAAAAGACAGCAGCCTGGGGCAGATTCCAGGTTTGCTTTTTATTAGAGAGCATGGCGCTTCGTTTCATGCAGAAGGGATTTGAGAAGAGAAAGGGGGTGGCTAAAACAGTACGGTATATTTAGACCATCGTTCGGAGCGAAAATAAATACACTCATACATTTATTTTTAAAACCCAAACAATACAAACACTCAGATGAACAATCTATGATGAGTCATGATTGCAAATACACTCATAGACCGGCAAATCATACAGGGGAGGGTGGAATGGGACCATGTCACACAGATTCCCTTTGGTGGAAATTCCACATCTCTCCTCTTGTTTCATGGCTTCCATCTACCACAAGATTCAGGCCTAGTTTAGACATACTGCCAAGCCATAGTTTTCTGTTTTAGGAACGAGCTGAGGCAAGCCTCTGACATGCACTCCTTCTCTTTTCTCCTCCTTTGCATACGCAAGAAGAAGGCTGAAATATTCTGCTTTCACTTTAGAAATAACCACAGTTCCCTGTGTCATTTGAACTGTGGTAAGCAAGGATCAAATTAGCCAGATGTCCTGACTTGTTGGCTAGCCTGGTCGCAGCAAGCCATGGTTCCCTGTATTCTGAAATCACAGGGAACCGTTGCTAGTCTTAAAGTTGGTTAGTTAGTTCTAAAGTTTAGAATCCTGTAGGGAAGAAGACACTGGCAAAGCAGACACCAGCCAAGAGCAGGATTTAACCCTCTGCTAATCTGCTGCGGAGCAGGGAGTTCTTTCCTGCTGGGTGCTGCTTTGCTTTGGGTACATTTCCTGTGGGGAAACATACTGCAGAAACAGACTCCCTCCCCACCCAAGCGTCAACTTTGACAGGTGGGCGAGAACACCCTGTTGGGATGCATCCGGAGAAATGGGGGCATTTGGCAGGTCCCCCAGCTGGCTCCAGCCACTGGCCAACAGCCGGGCGATCTCCAGTTCTCAGAACAGCATCAAACAGTGACACAAGCCTCAGATACCTTTAGAGACTTGGCCTACTCTAGTCAGCAAAGTGAATAACTTCTCACAACGGAAGTGGCGTACAGAGACATGTGTAAGGATTATTTACAGGCGTTTATTCAGCATAGTTCAGGAACAAAGGAAAAAACATGTCTGCTTCCCTTCTTGTCCAAGCACACGGCAATATAGCAAAAGCAATATTCAAACAGAAGTTCCCAGCAGACTTGTGCTGAAAGTAAACAAGCATGTGACACACAACAGTCATGCCTGTTCATTTTAAGGTGGAACGGAACTATATCCTAACACACCCACCTATCATTCACTTGGCACAATCAGGCGAGTGATTATGAAGAAGCAGCACATGGGTGGGAAGAGGATTATGAGAGGCCAAAGCTCACATAGGTTTGCTTCTGTGATGTGAAACCATGATTTAACATTAACATTTAACAGACCTCAAGAGTCAGGCCCCCTGTCACGCTTGCCAGTGCCAATCTCTAAATCTCCTTGATGAAGGCCACGAAACGTTCTGTGCTGAAACCCTGGACAGCAAGGCAGAACTAGTTCAGTCATTCTTAACATGGGAATTAAACTAGACCTATCAAGGGGATGTAGGGACGCGGGTGGCGCTATGGGTTAAACCACAGAGCCTAGAGCTTGCTGATCAGAAGGTTGGCGGTTCGAATCCCTGGGACGGGGTGAGCTCCTGTTGTTCAGTCCCAGCTCCTGCCAACTGAGCAGTTCGAAAGCACGTCAAAGTGCAAGTAGATAAATAGGTACCGCTCCGGCGGGAAGGTAAACGGCGTTTCCGTGTGCTTCTCTGGTTCTCCAGAAGCGGCTTAGTCATGCTGGCCACATGACCCGGAAGCTGTACGCTGGCTCCCTCGGCCAATAAAGCGAGATGAGTGCCACAACCCCAGAGTCGGCCACGACTGGACCTAATGGTCAGGGGTCCCTTTACCTTTATCAATGGGATGCTGTTGATTTTCAAATGCTGCTTCTCGGTTACCATCGTTTTAGATTTGCCTGGTGCCCCTTAAGGGAGTGACCCACATTCCTAAATTGTCCAAGAACATTATAAAGGGTGCCTCTTGTTTCAGAACACCCTTGGCCCCTTAACAGCAGAACAGATGCCAGGGACACTGAAAACTCTTATTTCTGAATCCTGGTTGAGCAGCCATACTTTAACAACTCCTTGTTTTCAGCACCCGCAGGCTGCAATCTGTAACTCATCATTTAAGGTCTGTGGGCGTAGCATTTCTGATAGTCCCCTATCAACACACTTGCTACAATACTATCCTTCCAACTATTCATCATATCATCCCATACTTAGTGGTGGCAGGTTATAATCCAGAAATTCTTCTTGTGCCTTGAAATCTGCCTGAATTAGAAAATGCAGCTTCTGACACCTGCCCCCTTCCTCTCCATCCATCCCCTCCCCTGTAGTGAGCAGGATCCACAGCAACACAGCTGGCAGGTGTGAGGAGCCAATAAAAGGAGAGGAAAAAAATCAGTTGGGAGGAGTCATAGCTGCCTCACCTGATTTTGGCAGCAGACTCAGAAGTACAAGGGGCAAATCTCTGGGTTGAATCCTGGTTACTTTACCTATACTCTGCTCCTTTTCCTTCGCTTTCTCTCGTCCCATTACGTAGTTAGACAGCCACCTCCTTAGTCTAGAGTTGGACTAACTCTGCTCCAGTTTGCAAGCAAGATTAAATTATGGAATTCAACAAATATTCATACCTGTGGTTATTTTTGCATACTATGTTCTGCTTTCAGGTTTGGAGCTTTGAAATAATGTGGAATTCTTGGGGGGAAAGGTAGGGCTGGGAGATGTGAAATATATCCTCCTGTTCTAACCACAAAGGCCCACTGAGCGCCCACTTCTGGTTGCATGCTATTAACATTCAAAAGAGCCAGAAACTTGCTGAAATTCCCAAAACAGTAAATGGTGCACCACACATTGCCAAGTTATATGTTTGCAAACTATGTACGGGCAGAACACAGTCTTAACTTATTGTTACACACACACACACACACACACACACACACACACACGTTAGCATGAAAAGACTGCCACAGCTCTGCAAAGAAGCAAACCTTTTATTCCTCAACAATTCCTAATGCATTTGGCGCCGACCTCTCATTCCGGGCTGCCAAGGAGATACTCGCACCTTCTGGGGACATGGCAAAATTCGAGGGCCCTTTACCATGTTGAAACAGCCGTTCTGCAATTGCACGGTACACGGCGCATCTCTAAGGCCCATCCCACCTATAACGCTCTGCCCTTCCTCACCCCCTGCTCCGGTGGGGCAGCTGCCCTCCCCAAGGCCCCCCTTCCCCTGCCCTGACTCACAGTTGTGAAGTTGTGGGGGCCGCAGCGCTCGCCCTGGAAGCGGCAGGAGAGGAGCATCTCCTCCAGCTGGTGGCCCAGCCTGTCGAGCAAGCGCCGCGTGGACTGCTCCTGCGGCGGCAAAGGCGGCAGGTAGTGGGAGAAGTTGAGCAGGTTCCCCAGCCAGAGCCACCGGGGGTCCCGCATCACGGCCCCCACAGCTGGCACGGGCTGCAGATCCTTGTTGAGGAGCCCCAGCCAGTAGCCGCTCAGGTGGAGGTCTGCCCGGCTCATGCGGCGCAGGAGGAGCAAGTTGTTGTTGCAGAGGGTCACAGCCGGAAAGGTCAGCTGGCGGGCGTAGAGGAGGTGGACCTTGGTGTGGACAGGCCAGGAGAGCAGGTAGCGGATGCGGTTGGAGGACCAGGTGGCTAGCAAGGCCACAGAGCCTAGGAACGCCAGGAGCCAGAAGGCCCGGCGAGGGCACGACCGGTGTCCCGAGAGGACATGGCGGAGCCCGTGGAACTTCGTTTGCTCCAGGAGATAGAAGAGGGGCGAGTGGGTCGCACAACCAGACCAGCCGCCTTCCATGTCGCCAAGAAGAGGCTTGAAGAGGAGCTCCCTTGAGCTTGTCTCCCGTCCGCACTCCTCGCCACATCAGCTCATCTCCCTGCTTCTTTCCTAATGATCTCTCGCTCAACTTCGACTGTCAGGGGGAAGCCAAGCTGGGAGATGCGGAGTGCGTCTGCCTGCAGCTTCCTTGGGCAGGAGCTGCTCACAGCATCTACGGGTTCCAAAAGAGGCGGCTGTGCCTAGGGGGGAGCTGTTTGGCTCAGGCATCGGAAGAGCCACCTAGAGCATGCCAGAGGCAGGGAGAGAGCGGCAAGGAGGGGAGATCCAGGGAGATGCAATAGCAAAGGAGAGAGAGAGACAGAGAGACAGAGAGACAAGAGAGAGAGGCGGGAGCTTGGGATGGGAAGTGTTGACAAGGAGGGAAAAGACACAGATATTAGGGTGCTGGAGGAGGGAACAATGCAGAGGGAGAGAGAGGCAGAGAGATAGAGAGAGAGGGACACACAGAGAGAGAGCATGTATGTGGTTTGGGAGGAAATGGCGCCTGAGAGTCAGCAAGATAAGTCCAAGTGCAGCCCTGCCCCCCTGCTGTCAGCTCAATCGACTGAAGAGCTTCTTCTCAGCTAGCAACAAATGCCCTTAAACTCTTTGGCTGCAGCCGTCTGCAGCAACCACCTCTCCACCCCTGCGACAACATCCACTCATGGTCTACAACTACTGCACTGCCCCCCCCTCTATGTGCACCCACAAGATGGGGCAGGCACAGTGCAGCAGGTGCACCCTGGAAGGTGAGCTCCCTTGTATTTGCGGCAGGGATCCCAGATATTGGCAGGAGTGCTATTTACACATAGTTACATGATTAGGGGTGATGCAGGTGGCGCTGTGGGTTAAACCACAGAGCCTAGGACTTGCCGATCAGAAGGTCGGCGGTTTGAATCCCCGCGACACGGTGAGCTCCCGTTGCTCGGTCCCTGCTCCTGCCAACCTAGCAGTTCTAAAGCACGTCAAAGTGCAAGTAGCTAAATAGGTACCACTCCGGCGGGAAGGTAAACGGCGTTTCCGTGCTCTGCTCTGGTTCGCCAGACGTGGCTTAGTCATGCTGGCCACATGACCCAGAAGCTGTACGCCGGCTCCCTTGGCCAATAAAGCGAGATGAGTGCCGCAACCCCAGAGTCAGTCACGACTGGACCTAACGGTCAGGGGTCCCTTTACCTTTACCTTACATGATCAGGGAATATCAAGAGGATCATACACTTAATTCAGATGACGCGGGGTTTGTTTTCTATTCACTGCAACTGGAAATCAAGGGGCTCAGAAAGGCAGTCTCCTGGCACAATCCTGTGCATGTTTATTCAGCCCCTCCCATCTCTGCTCCGTACCCATGTATGTATATTTCTACCAGTTGAGGACAACTCTTTTGGAGCTCTTCACAATCTCTTCTTGTTTCATCAACACTGAACCATCAACCCTCTCGACCACCTCGATGCTCACCCCTGAGTCAAGATCATTTATGAACAAGTTAAAAAGCACAGGTCCTAATAGTGATCTTTGTGGGACTCTAGGCCCCTCCATTGGGAGAACTGTCCAATTATCCCTACTTCCTGCGACTTAACCAATCCACAAGAGGACCTCTCTTCTGATTCCATGACTGCTAAGCTTACTCAGGAGTCTTTGGCGAGGTGCGTTGTCAACAGGCTTTTGATAGTCCAAGTACACTTTATCAACCAGATCATCTGTATTATATATGATTGTTGTCACTCTCAAAGAACTCTGGTAGATTATTGTGACAGCACTGACCCGCCTTGGTCACAATGTGGTGGAAAAGTGGGATACAAATCATTTTATATATATATATATATATATATATATATATATATATATATATATGATTTTATTAGAGTTTATAAAGAGGAAGATGAAGCTTAATATCAAATATCTTGTCCAAACTAAAACATTAATCTAAATAAGATAAAAACAGAGAGGGGGGGGGAGAGAGAAAGAGATCCAGAAAAAGAAATAGAAAAAGGATTAAAAAAGAGAGAAAGAAAAATAAAGTTCAGAAACTAAAGAACTTCCGATTCTTTGTCTGTCTACAATATTCACTCCATCCACTTAAATACAACACTCAACAACGCCACTTTCTATAAACAAACATTGTCTTCAATCCTCAGATTCAAATGTCACTATTTCTTTTTCATGCAAAGAGTCCAGGAGAGTTTCCCAGTCTTTAGTAAATGTCAACAAGGACTTTTCTCTGATTAAGCAGGTGTATTTTGCCATCTCAGTTAAGTCTGTTAATTTCAACAACCCTTCTGAAAGGTGGGCTACAAATCTAACAAACACTTAAGGTTGCTCCTTGCTTTGAGGACATTTTCCTTCTCCTGGGTGTTGACGGAGTCCCATAATAATAATAGTAGTAGTAATAATTTATTTATACCCCGCCCATCTGGCTGGGCTTCCCCAGCCACTTTGTGCGGCTTCCAAAAAAATATTAAAATACTGTAATACATCAAACATTAAAAGCTTCCCTAAACAGGGCTGCTATAAAGGCACTGCTGTCCAGCCGGGACTTAACTTTTCCTTCTTCAACAAAAAGCATAGCGCTCCTTTCCTTCTCAGTAGTGCTAGCTTTTTGCAGGGTGATGATGCCACCTAGTGACTACTGAATGTATATATACAGTAGTTTATGCCACCAAAGAATAAGTGAAGTCAGAGATCTTCCCACATACAAAAGGGATGCAGTGGGCAATATTTAGGGATTTGGGAGGTTAGGAATGGGGAAGGTGGAGGTGAGGAAATCTTCATTCCCCCCCCCCCTTAGGAGGACCAAGGGTTCTTGTAGAACCAAATACTGACCCAACAAGGAGAACCAACAATGGAAACCTGAGCTGGCGTAAGTTAAATGTCAAAAGTGAAATTTGAAAATGTCCAGAAAGTCCTATTCCAGTTGTGAAATTTTGCCAAAGGTTCAATTGGTGCAAGAATTCTGTTTCCGCTGTAGACAACAAAGTCGAGAGTCTATTGGGGTGGGATATGAATTGCAATCTTCTTTTTTCCAAATTTTGTATTTATACATTTCAAATTTATACACTTCACTGATTTTACAATCCATTTAACATTTCAAAATTTGACTTCCTTCCCCCTCTTTCTGCGGTTCCTTAAATTTCTTTTTTAATCTCTTCTGTATATCCAAATTTATTTAATTGCTCATTTAATCATCTACTGTAAATATATACTCTTATAAAACTGCAGGTTATTACAATGATCCTGCTAATGTTTTTATCTGTTTACAATTTATCTGTAAATATTCAATAAAGCATTTCCATTATTTTAGAAAAATTCTGTTACCTTGATTTCTTATTCTTCCGGTAAGTTTTGCCATTTCTGAATATTCCATAAGTTTTTGTATCTGTTCTTCCTTTACTGGGACTTCTGCTTCTTTCCATTTTGGGGCAAGGTTATGAATTGCAATCTGCCCTTCACCACGTAAGACAAGAGCCCTGTTGGAACAGCCGAAAGACCTGCTTGTCCAGCACACTGAGAACCACAGTGGCCAACCAGTGAGCTCTAGAAAGCCAACAAGTGAGACTTGAGGACAGTAGCCCTGAACCTGGAGAGCTCATATAGATGGGGGAACCTGTGCCACTCCTGCTCTTGTTGAAGTCTAACTCCCATCAGACCAGCATGGCCAATGTTCAAAGATGGCGCAAGTTGTAGTCCAGAAAAATCTAGAGGACCACAGGTCGTCCCCCCCCCCCCAATTCCTAAATACAGGCATTGTGGCTAATAGCCATTAATAGACGTACCTTCCATGAATGCGTCTAACCTTTTCAAAGGCATCTAAGCTGGTGCCCATCATCAGTGCCAGCCCTATCGTTAGGCAGAGTAAGGTGACCACCTCGGGTGGCAAATGCTGGGTAGGACGGGCACTGGGGGCTTCTCCCTAGCTGTTTTCCCTGAGTCCCTACTTGCCCACTGTGGCAGAGTTGAAGTGGCCTACACTGAAGTAAGTTTCTTCTGCCAGTCTAGCCAACATACATATGTGGAACTGAGGTGGGCACGAACTTGTCCTCTGCCTCAGGCAGCTAGAAGTCTTGGGCTGCTCCTGCCCATCATTACCTCTTGTGTCAGCAAATTCCGTACATTCATCATATTCTGTGTGAAGGCGCTCCTGTTGTCTGGTGTTGGCATTACTGTTCAGTGCTTGTGCGAGAGGGGAATAAAAAAAAGTCTCTGTCCACTTCCTCCATGCTATGAAGCAATCACGATCCCCTCCCATAATAACCTTCTTTCTAAACTGGAAATCCCTGAACATTGTAGCTGTTCCTCATAGGAGCATTCTGGGATCAAATCAGAACCTGGGACAGCTCCTGCAAATCTGGGATGGTCCCTGGAAAATAGGGACATTTGGAGAGTCTGAGAGGGTAAAGCAGGGATCAGCAACCTTTTTCAGCCGTGGGCTGGTCCAACGTCCCTCAGACCATGTGGTGGGCCGGACTATACAGTGGTACCTCGAGTTAGGAACTTATTTCGTTCCGGAGGTCTCTTCTTAACCTGAAACTGTTCTTAACCTGAAGCACCACTTTAGCTAATGGGGCCTCCTGCTGCTGCCGTGCCGCCGGAGCACAATTTCTGTTTTCATCCTGAAGCAAAGTTCTTAATCTGAGGTACTATTTCTGGGTTAGCGGAGTCTGTAACCTGAAGCGTCTGTAACCCGAGGTACCACAAAAAAGAACGAATTCCTATGCCCCACAAATAATCCAGAGATGTATTTTAAATAAAAGGACACATTCTACTCATGTAAAAACACGCTGATTCCTGGACCGTCCGTGGGCTGGATTGAGAAGGTGATTGGGCCGCATCCGGCCCACAGGCCTTAGGTTGCCTACCCCTGGGGTAAAGGGACTGACTCCCCTTTGCCAACAAGCCGAGCCAGATTTAGGTTTGATGAGGCCCTAAGCTACTGAAGCTAATGGAGCCCTTTATATGTCCAGCTGTCCTTTGTCAACAACAAAATG